CCAGAGAAGGTATCGTTCTTTCCACTTATAAGATGGGATGAACAGAATTTAATTCTGGACAACTTTAATTAAAAGCTCAAAAATAAAAAATCATCACAGTATTTAGAAAATTGACTATGAATAATTGTGACCGTTTGTGACCGAGCCCATCCCTAGTCTAAACCTAACGGTAACTTACCAAAAAACAAGAGTGACTTTTAGTTAATGATCGTTGACGCAACTATTTTGACGGCCTAGCTCTCCCACAAAAAATTGTTCACCACCTATAATTTTGACCAATCGAATTTCAGGAAACGAAACCACTTTTTTCAAAAAAACAAGAATAACTCTAATATTAATTAGGAAACCACCTTCTGCGGCCTAATTAAAAATGTTCCTCGTAATGTTTTACTAGTAAGCACTATATAATTCTAATCCTAACACGGTTTTCTTGGTTTCCATTTTACATGCAACTTTTTTACTTACGTTTGTTTTGACACCTGATCTTAATTTTGATTGGTTAAAATTACCGGGGGATGGACAATTTTTTGTGCGAAAGCTAATCAACGGTTTTTGCATTGACGAAATGATTTTGTCAATGGTTCCGTCTGACGCAACTTTGACGATTGACGAAATTAATTTACTAATAAAATTTAAACATACAGTTGACTCTCTCTTGACAAGCTTCTTTATACCGACCTCTGGATATTCTGAATTGCAAATTTTTTTCAAAATTATTATTATTCATAAAAATTTATTGTTTCATATGAAAATATAAATTTCTAATTTAACAACGTCCCTTTTTCTACAAAATCATCAGTTAACTCGATAAAAATTCAAAGCCACATACAAAACTTAATTTTTATTTTTGCCCTACGTTTAATCTGAAGTCGATTTTTTTTTTATTGCCGGTAATTCATTAGAACTATAAAATTATTAATTTATAAATTAATATAATTATCTAAATATAGATTGCTATAAAATTGTTAATTCATAAATTAATTTTATTCTCACCAGCTAATAATTATATCGAATATATTCGGGTGATTGATGAAAAAAAATTAATTTCACATGGGATAATTTATTTCCATTATGAAAGAAATAAATAATAGTCTTGTCCTTCATCAACCATGGATTTTGTTATTCATCATGACTTTCTCATGAATTTCATCATTCGTCATTGCGTCAACTCGAAGTTGCCTAACGAAATTGTTTCGTTATGCGTCAATTACGCAAGTTGAGTCATGCGTAACCTATCATTACTTGTAGCTGTAATAGATATGCCTAATCCGTTTTTCTGAAAATTAATATGTCAGTGATAGATTTACAGAATTACCAAGTACAAGAATGATTTGTAGCTGTAATAGATATGTACTAATCCGTTATCTATTTTAAATTCTGAGAGTTAGTGTGTCTTAGTGATAGACTTACAAAACCTGCATTTCTTCCCAAAATAATACAGAATTTTAATTTATCAAAATGGGTCCGTATTGATTCACCGACAATCACTTCACCGACAGCTCATTTAGACGACATTAAGCCAGGTGAAATTTAGTAAAAATATATACCTGCAACTAATGAAATGCTTAACCCTAACTCTATGTGATGTGATGTCGGCTAAATGTCGGTGAATTGAAGGGATCCCTATCAAAAAATGGGAATACTAATAGAATGGTTTATCTTGTGTCAGAGATTGTTATCAATATGAAACTAGAAAGACACCCCTAGATAGACCCGGATTCGCATATTATCGTAGACCTAATTGTATGTAACTTTAAAAAATTATTTATATATGGAGTCCATTCTAAATTTGTAATAATGCTAATACTAAAATTTCTAATTAGAAGATCCGGAAATAAATTTTCACTCTACGAATGATCGTTCTGATCGTCCGCCGTGTGATAAGATTTCGATGATCTTGCTATTTATAACATTCGTTTAAAAAATAATTTAGCGTGTCAATCTTAAATTAAATGCGGAAAAATTTTGTTGCATATTATTTTTCCGGATCTTTTTTCGACCACTGTAGTATTAGGCATTTTATATTCCTGGGCTAACCCAGACCTTAAGTATAAAATAAAGAGATTGTTTTGAGTTTTACGTTACACCTGGTCTTCAAATTTAAAATATAATGGTTACAAAAATTTATCTGTAACAAATATATTAATCCTAAAATAAATATTATTTTTGTCTAAAGTAAATTGTTATTGTAAAAAAAAAAAAATTGAATTTTTAAAAATTTGCGGAAAAACGAAATTAGCTTGGTATGGTCTTAGAGATCAACTAAAATAATCTATCCATACTTATAACAATTTACTGTAGAGGGGGGAACAACAATTGCACGACAAAAATTTCTTTTATCAGAGTTTATGTCACTCGTAGCAGTACATGGGAGTGACATTAACTTCGATGAAAAAAAAACCGAAATCGCTATTTTCCATCATTTACCAGAAAGTAATTGGTTAGATGCAAATTATTACTTATCTGCGACCAATTTGATAATCAACTGCTTTTTTTTTAGGGTTTCCGTTCCATGATAACGTCGCACAGCTATCTAGTTATTTAATACATATCAACTTGGTGCAAATCACTTACCACAAATTAGAAATCATTTAAATTTTTAATGCAAATGTACGTTTAAATGATAAATTACATGCTTTTCATTTAGTTAATATATGGGGTCTTTGCCTTGAAAATCACCTTCTGACATTTCCGATCGGGTTAATTCGGACGAGTACCGGTTCATATTCATATTTTAATTATCTTTTACTTTTATTGATTCAATCGTTATTCAATAAACTAATGAATCAATAAAGTTAAAAGATGATTAACATATGAACATGAACCGGTACTCGGGTTTATATTTGTCCGAATTAACCCGATCGGAAATGTTGGAAGGTGATTTTCAAGGCAAAGACCCCATATAACAAAAAGGATAATTAATACTGTATACCCTAATATTGATATCAAAAATACATAATTGATGTAATAAATTAAAATGAATTTTATGTATAAAAAAAATACAAAATTTAGATACATGGTTTTAGGGAGTTAAATAAATTTAATTTGATTTAATATTAATCCCAGACAATAAATAAATAAATAAATAAAATCAAACGATTATTTTTGTGGGAATTTTTCGTCTATCAAATTCTCGGTGTATTCCCAAAGTCTTTTAGCTAAATCCTCATCTTGAGCACATTTGGACGGTTCACTTTCATTACCAAATGGTTCAAAATACTTTGCACGGTAATTGTTCTCTTCGATTTCTGGACTTGTAGCACAATATAAGGTAGTAATAGCACCATCTTCAGTTGAGATTGAATGAATAAAGAACGTGTCTGGTACAGAAAAATCGTTTCTCTTTAACGTGCCGGAATTAACCATACCTAAATAATATCAATAAAAAGTATTATTAATTAGTTAATTAAATAGTTGTTTTAGTTAAATATTGAAAATTAATTTATTATACCTGGATAAACAGAGTTAGCAAATACTTTCACTTCTTTAAGATATCATTTATTTAATTCGTTAGTAAATAAAATATTTGCAAATTTTGAATGTACATAACGTGACATTGAGTGTTGAGCAGGATCATTTAATTTCTCGAAGAAATTTTCACCCTTAACAAATTTATGACCGTGACTACTAAGATTTACTATACGTGCTGGTTGTGAAGCTTTAATTTTTTCCAATAATAACTTAGTGAAAAACTAACAGTACAAATATTTTGTTATTATGAATTTTAATAATTTAATAAATCAGTAACAATTCAGTAATAATTTATTTGCTTTTACTTACAAAATGTCCGACATAATTTACACCAAATTCCTCTTGAATTCCTTCCTCAGTAAGTGAAAATTTACTATTTTATCATATTAAAATATTTATACAAAATATTCTTACAGATACAAATGAAAATATATATATATATATATATATTTAGTATTATTACTTACGCTGCCGTGGTTCCTGCATTGTTAATTCTAATAATAAAAATGAACAATCAATTAATATAGACTAAATTTGAGTGTCGCCAAGGGAAAACCAGCAAATCTAAAAATAGTTCATTTATGAAATTCATAAATGATCTATTTTTAGATTTGCGGGTTTTCACTTGGAGACACTCATTTGTAAATCTTAAAAATGAACAATTAATTAGATTAATATAGACTAAATTTGTAAATCTTAAGTTAGAACTTACAGAATGTGCAATGGTAAATTTCTATCCAAGAAATTTTCGGCACATTCTTTAACAGAATTTAAGCTTTTTAAATCCAATTTTAGAAATTCAACATTCTGATTACCAGTTTCAGATTTGATGTTTTCAACGGCTTCCTGACCTTTCTCCACGGTACGACTTAATACAAACACATGAGCATTTTGTCTGGCCAATTCCCTACAGGTAATATATCCTATCCCGTCATTTCCTCCTGTAACAACTGCAACCTAGAGATATTAAATAGTCAAAAAAATTTTTAGTATGCTAATATTTTATATTTCAATTAATCGGATGATCGGTTGATAATAATCTAATTACTTTTCCGGTCAAATCGGGAATTTGATCGAAAGTAAAATGCTTTACTTCAGGTACTTTAAGCATCGACTCTATATCTGACATTTTGTTGAGAATCAATTGAGTGGATGGATAATTTAGTGGATAATTTAGTGGACAATAAAGTGGAAAGAAGGCATATTTATAAAGTTTTCTTGATTACAAAGATTTAACCGATAGACCTCCTTTGTGTAATACACATACAGTTGGTTCCAAAAGATTGTCACGGTTTCACAAAACATAGTCAAATATCGATATCCAAACAACGATATAATATATTGCACGCAAAGTAATAAAATATTAATGAATACAACTGAATCTTTGTATAAAAAAAATCACCGGATCCGACCAAAATCTTATATTGAGGTTTTTCTTATAGTAAAGGCTTTTTATTATAAAATTTTCAATTGGAACTTGTAAAATCTTTCTTACATCAAGAGTTTCTTACATTAGGGTGTTTCAAAAGTTAAAATGCGGAAATCTAATTTTAATTGAAATTGGTTACAGATTTATTTTCAAATGAGCGATGTATCAACTTTATTTCATTTTCCGATAAATTTGAAATGATGATTTTGTCGTTAAAAAGTCTATTTATTTCGTTAAATGGGGATCTCCAGACATTTTCCGATTTTAAAATTTTGGAATGCAAATAAGATTTTTCAAACTCGCATTTAACTTCAAAATGCGCCACTCATTTGAAACCCCTATTGAAGGTTTCTTATATCGAGAGCTGTATATGTATACTATTCAAATAATCATCATAATTTATGTTTTGTGTAACCGTGACGAACTTTTGAAGGCAACTGTACAATTTCGGCTATATACAGAAATGATTATAAAATACTACGTACAATACTACAGAAATTAGAGTGATGCGGAATGAAAATCTTTAACTAGACTTAATTATTTTCGTACTATCAATATATATGGTTCGGACCGATGATCCTTCGATCCATCCAGGGATTGGGCCAATCCAGTTCTTTTTAGGATGGATCGAATAGTGAATATCAAATAATACATATATTATCTTGATTATATGCATTTAAAATTTAAAACAACTATAAAATGCTGGTTTTAGTTAAAATTCTAAAAAAATGTTAAGTGGTTAAAAGGTAACAAAATATTTTCTCAATTGATTTCGACCATAAGTGTTCATATTTTACGGAATAAATCATTAGGAGCTCTTTCAATTCTAGTTTAGCATAGCATGAAACGTAGACATTAATCATGTTTGGAATTTAATTAAAAGAAATTATTTTGCTGCATTACTATATTATATTACTTTTTAAAACATGATTTACGTATGACTTAAATTATCAAACATGTCAATTAATGAATAACCTTTATTTGCACCTTATTTTTGAACTTTTCATCGTTATAGCAAAAAAGTATTATGTTGATCATCGGTACATTCGATCTAACTCTATTCGGTCCTATTCAGTCCTGAACCGCGGTTTAGAGATCTTTTACAGCTGTTTTCATTAATTTTGGGGCATCCGGTAAAAAATTAACCTAAGGCAGATTCGATAAGTTATTGATTTCAGCATAATCAGTGTAACGTTTATACCAGGAACGGAGTTTTCCGTAATTGAAACGGAGAGTACTAGGAATGGAGTTTTCCGTAAGTGAAACGGATATACCAGTAACGGAGTTTTCCGTAAGTGAAAACGGAGAGTATCGGTATGGTTTACCAACGTGTTCAAGGATGTCCGTTCACAAAATCAATTTGATTGGATGCCACAGTTGGCTATGATTTCTAAATATTTAAACACGGGATAATTTCGGGTTTGCAGATTGAATCAAGAGAACCATTTAAAGCACTACCATGTGACTAAAAGGTGGCAAAACTTTAATGGCTTATGAGCCTTTTCTATTTTTATAAACATTTTTAGGATTGTCTTGTGAACTTCCAGTTTTGTTTCGATAGTGCATTATGTAGTATATGCATAATACGGCTATGGTACTTACAATATTGCAATGCCTACATTGCTACCATTGCTGTAATTCTGATATGCCATAATATTATATTACTGAAGTACTGCAATGAGTGGTCGAGAAGGAACCTATTATAAGATTTGAAAGTGTCAATGAAAGATTGAGAAAGAATGCATTGATAGATTAAGGTAGTACAATATAAGGTTGAGAAAGGGTGTTGTATTAACCTTTACCATTAAAGTCCTACACATGTACATATGTTTGTCTGCGTTAAAAGTAATCTAATTGATTGACTGGACTACTTGCACTTGACATCTGTCTACTTTAGAGGTTTGATTGGCTGTTATATTTCAATGACATGTTTTGTTTATCGGACTTAGCATTAACATCATGACAAAAGTTTAAATGAAAAAATTATCATTAAAATTTTTATTAATAAGTATTTAATTGTTCCAACGAATTTTACGGCAAAATTATATGATCTCATTTTGTCGTAATAATATTCAGATGCATAACTTTAATTAGTTATGTAACTTTCGTTTTTGTTGCATAATTTAATAATTTTAACAAGAGTTTGATTTCGATTTAACAGTAATTATACATCATAATAAAGAAATTCTTTTTTAGCGAAACTATGAATACATTCGAAAATATTACCAATCTAAATAAACTGTTTCATACTAACAATATTAATCAAGAGTCGCACTTCTTATTATCCAAACCTAGCAATAATATCTGCTTTTTTTGTGCCAATTATCAAATAATGCCTCGATTAAAGTAATGATTATACCAATCAGTTTGACGAGATCAAGTTCAGTAATTATTTGGGAGATAGGCATCATGAACTAGTTTATAGTCAGACCTCTCTAAATGCAACACCCCGTTAAATGCAATCTTTAACTCTCGCATATATACTATATTTACATAAAAGCAATTTTTCCTATTGTCTCTAAATGCAAGCTATCAAAATGCTAGTCCCTACGAATTGCACTTAGGAAGGTCTGACTGAAATTAGGCATGTAAAAACCACGTTAAAAAAATTAAAGAGGTTAGGAAAAATAATCTACAATGGAGACAAAGTCTACAAAAAGGTATCATAAAATAAAGAAAATATCTTCGCAATCTAATGTATTGATATATAGCTAGTCATGTATTTATTTGTATATAGCGATAGTTATGTATACTAAAATTATGTACAAAGTAAAATTATATTAAGTTACGGCATATAAAAAGCTGAGCTACGACATGACATGATATGTTATGGCAATCTGCATATACGCATGTTATAACATGCTGTAATCCCTATAAAAAAAAATTAAAATCATATTCAGGATTTGCTCATGTTATTTTTTTAAGAGATGAGCGTCTTCCGTAACAAAAATCTATACAAAACTTTTAAACTTTTCTGAATATTTTCGAAACCTTGTTAATTCCTGATTATAATTTTTGCTTGATAAAGATTATAATCAGGAAATTAACAAGTTTTCAGGAAATTTGAAAATATTTAATGGTTTTGTATAGATTTTTGTTACGAAAAATGCTCATCTCCTAAAAAAAATAATGAGTAAAGTCTGAATATTATTTTAAATTTTTTTTTATAGGGAATTTAAAACAAAAAGTCAAAATAAGTTATACTTGGTTACGTCACGGCTTGTCCCGATGCTTTAAGTTTCTCACTAATATTAAAGCTTAAATTGCTTTTAAAGATGCTTGACGAATGACGAAACTTTCGTCATTGACGATTGACAAACCTTTCATCAAGCCAATTTTGAAATGATGAATTGACGATTGACGAAACCTATGACGATTGACGAAACCTATGACGATTGACGAAACTTATGACGAAACTTATAAGCCAATAGAATTACAGGATCTCGTGTAACAA